AATGAAAATAAAAACATTAATTTAGTGAAAAGAGTACAACCCCTTTGTAGGGCGTTGAGATTGCATCTTCATGATATAGTTCGCCATCGGGTTACCTCCTAAGGAGTAGGGTGTGAAGTTCATTTTATGCCGATACGCGCGGTTGTGGGGGTACGGCTTGGCCTTTGTTGAGGTTGCCTGGGGTGGCCGCTGGGCCACGTGCACGCGGCGGGGAGTGATCACCTCCTCTGTCGTTTCCTCCGTTGGGGCCTCAATCGAGCGCCCGAAGCGCCGTCGCTCCACCACCTGGTCCGGGATCTCCACGATGGACACCTGCTTAGGCCGCGCCTGAACGGTCTGGAAACGGCACCGCGCGTGAATTTGGTCCCAGACGTGGCCGGAAAAGGGGTCCTGAGAGGGGTTCACCGTGGTGTAGAACTGCCTTCGCAAAACCGGCAGGTTGTCCAGTGGAGTGGGCATCGAAGCGCCCTCCCCAGTACTCGGCAACGACGACTTTCGCAAATAGGGTAAACTCATCAAATGCGTTCAGTGCTCACGTGCTTCCCCCTCTTTGTATTTTTTTTTGAAGCGGACTAGAAATCCAAGATGGGTGCGGCTTCAATTTCGGGGGATAATTAATTGCTAATCATAAAGAGGAATGTATAAGGAACAGATAAGCTTAATAAAGTAGGCATGGCGAGAATCATTCGAAGATAGTGGACATCATTTTTTTTTTTTTAAGGTTTAGTCTATAAAATAAACTTATGGATTTTTAATATAATCCTGCACAGAAAAAAAAATGATAATAATAATGTTAGCGTTTATTTAGAGGAAAAAAGTGACCGTAAGATTGCAGAGATTAAACTTAACAACAATAAAAAAAGCATAACAAAAGAAATAAACAAATATGATCTTCTCCTTTAAGGAGATCCCGCACTTAAACTACACCGCATTAAAAGTTAAACGCCTGCTCGACTAAATGAATCGTTTTCCTTTATAATTAAAGCACGTAATCACATAATAAAACTATACATTACCGCATCGAAGCAAACAAATGAAAATCTACAGAAATCTTTTTTTGCATTACCGGTCTTTCAGACCTCCCAACAAATGATATCACGCCGAAGATGCAACAATAATGTAGCCATTACATTCTGAAAATCTGACAGGAAAAAACTTACAAAACGTGTTTGGATTGTCTTCGCTAGTATTAATTTTGTAATAGTAATCTTTTCAGATTTACTTCTAAATCCTTAGTGTTGCACTGTAGAAGAAGAGCTAAAACTGGCGGTAGATTAAACTCTAAATAAGGTTCCGGCGGGCGATACCTCGACGGGGGTTTTGTGTTGTTCAACGGATTTGAAAAAACCGAGGAAGGAGAACGCGAGTTGAAACGATTCTTTGCAATGGAGCCCTTATACTGGAATGCTCTATTAGGGGATTGTTGACTGTTGAGACCGAGGCCAATAAGCGAGCTGCCGGAGGTCGGAGATACCTGCGTGCCCGAATTGGTGCCTATACCAGACTGCGAAGGAACCGTCTTCTGCGCATTATGAACGTTCGGATTGAGAATAAAACCGACCCCGTTCACATCTAGATGACGCTCATCAGGAAGCTCATGCAAGTACGGGCAGGCCGAACCGCGAAGGCAGCCACCGTTTACGAAATACTTGCATACCTCCTGTGAATAATCATGCGATGGGGTGGATGAGGGCATTACTCCATTCCCCGGCGCGGGTCCTCCTCCTCCGGCCTGTATTAAGGCAGAGGGAAGAAAGGAATAGCTAGTGGAGCCACTTAGTGAGCGCGCCCCATTACCAATGCTAGATGGTAAGTTCCAAAGCTCTTTTGAGGAAAGCATGATACACTATTAAAATTAACCAAGTAAAGATAACTTGACTTTTTACCTAAATTATTTAATGTTACCAATTTCTACATGCTACAGGTTTTTTTAGTGAAAAAAAAAACGAAAGAAAAGAGAAAAATGGCTGCTTTACTTACTTACTGGGTAAATATACACACACCTTTATCAGGTTGTGAATAATTTAAGGTTTTGTATACAAGCTTATCTGAATATTGCATCTAAAATATTCTTTAGCATAAATTGAAATTTGTGCAATCCTCTCTCTCCAATATGGCACTTTGGTATATACTAAGATGAGAAAAAATGCGTACATACCCATCAGATGTATGGGTTTGTAAAATTCCAATACACACACATTCATGCAGACACAAATGAATGACAATCGACAAATTAGAAGTTAACCGACTAATGGTTTAAAACTATAGAAGACACCTTAAAAGGGGTGTCTTATATTCACTATAAACCTCAAGAAGCTGGTGAGCATCCAAACAGAACTCTCTGACAAAAAAAAATGAAGACGAACAGAAGACCATGAGATTTAGCAAAAGATTTCTGTATGCATGAATGCAATAAAAGCGTCATATATTATGCTAAGTAAAAAGGCGTTAAAAGTCGGTCGTTTTCTACTATTGATTCAAGTTGAGCACTACATTTTTTTTCCACCATAATTCGCTTTGTACTGCATGTTCTTCAATTCCTCTTAGCTTTATTAGTGCATATTTAATTTTTTTTTAAGGACTCCACAAAAACAATTATATTCACCATCTGAATTCGGTTTCGCAGTATCCTGATCAGGACTTCAGGATGGTCACTGTATTGTGATCCCAAGCCACAACACTAAGAGGCTTACCGAGGAGGAGACAACTAAAGGAAGGACGGTTGGTAAGATAACCCCGATCCTCCCACGTCAACGGACCCAAGATGCTTCCCTGCCGCTTTAACGGACGGTGAACAAGCAAATCCATCGTTGTAGCATCGATAAACAGCACGGCCCCACTCTCCAAGGCAACACAAAGCGTCCACGAGTGCACGTGAAATAGCGCTAGAGAGCTCACGGGAATGTCTTCGGTGTAGAAAGTCTTTTGCGTTGGTTTGACAATAAGAGTGCGAAGACGCTTCTCCGAATCACGGTCGCCGTTCTCCATCTTCTCCACGAGGTACACGTTAAACGTCGCCACGACGTTATTCTCGAGAGCGGTTGCTAAAAAAAAAACATTTCCCTCTGTCGCGAGGGAAGAGGTCCAGCAAGGGTTTGCTGTCGCCAACCACACGGAATGGCTGCGTTGGCCAGCCAAAAGCCGCGTTTCGCCGAGGACCGCGAGGTCCCTCGCCCGGAGGAGTTGCAGCCACCCACTCGACCACACACACAAACACGACT